GGGCACCGTCAGGGCTGTCCGGTCCCCGGTGAGCTGCAGGGCTCCGGGAAGCTGCCACGACTGAGGGGGGCCTGGGAGCTCTGTCCTTTGGGCAGCAGCGAGAGGACAGCCGGGAGGGGAATACTGAGGGTGTCATCCGGTACCTGAATTCGCAATGAATAATATAAGAAAAAATAACTTCGCGTCCAGCCCAGCCCAACTCAACCCTTCCCACCCGGACTTATATATCAGTTTAACTCAGCCCATCTCATCCCAACCCATCCCATCCCAACCCACCCCATCCCATCCCATCCCATCCCATCTATATTAACTCAACCCAGTCCAGCCCAATTCATCTCGCCCCTTCCTATCCCAGTCCAGTTCCTCCCATCCCATTTCATCTCTTCCCTCTCCAGGCACAAGGGAAAAGTGCTGGCGAATTTCTTCTTGGAATTTGAAATCTCGGCTTCCACTCTGGGACTGATGGGATGGAGTCCTGCTCTCTCGCTCGCTCTCCCTTTTCCAAGCATGAATAAAGATCGATGCCAGATCCAGTCATTCCCTTAGCCCGTGGGAAGCCACTTAAGTGCAAAATTTAATCAAATAAAGCCCGGCAAGTTCATAGGATGCTGGCACAGGATAGGCACTAGCGGATCGGAGGCAGAGGGCAGAGCAGAAGCCCGGGGGGACGGTGGGTCTGCAGGCTGGGCTGCCCCTCCCGGCCCCCGGACTGTGACTACTCCTCCCGGGCCTGGAGAGGTCCCAGGGGCAGGACAAGATGCAGCTGCTGCCCCCGGGAAAACGCGGGAGGACCGGAGCTGGCCCCGGGCGCGGGGGAGGGCAGGAGCTTCTCTGACCCTTCAACTCCTTTATAACTCGGTCCAGCTCCCTGGAGCCGGGATGGGCCAGGCCGGGGTGGGAGGATCCGTGCTCCGCTCCCCGCTCACACCCCATGGGTGCTTTCTTCCCGTGGCCGGGAAAGCGGGAGAAAACTGGGATACTTGGGACCCTGCCCCGGGTGTGGGTGGCAGGTTCAGGGCGGCCCTGAGGGAGCCCAGTGCAGAGCCCAGCGGGGAGGCAACGCGTCCCGGGGAGTCTCTCGTGGCTCCGGCGCGGCTGCGAAGTCCCCCGATCTTCTGGTGGCCGTCGGGCAGGGGGGGTTCCAGGCAGCCAACAAGAGCCCGCGCCGCAGGGCTGCGCCAG